CAGTTTTAGAGTGATTAAAAGACATCTGGCTCCTCCAACACCGATTAAATTCTCAATATTCTAAGTCAACGACAGGAACTCTGGACAATGACTTAACCCCAAGTTAACCTCTTCAAGGTCATGGTCTGGTTTCATAACAGGAGGAGGGAACAATCCTCTACTGGAACACCCTTCTCCATGACACCTGTTCCATTTTCACCTCTCAACTACAAGAACAAGCGGTGTCATTTAGCTTCAAGACGAGGGTGCACACTGGAACAGTAAGACACTACTTTGCACCGGTGCTGTTCCATCCTGGAGTCCACGCCCCCCAAAATGACCGTCACTCCTTTACAGCCTTCTTCTCTATGGTAAAATGTTTAGTCGCAGAAGCTTGTAAGAGACCTGGCAACGCCTTATTGTTTGCCTTTCTATTTGAGCCCTTGAGGGTGTATAAAGCCATCGTCTACCACAGCGAGAGTTAGGCTCGCAGAAACTAACAGCTAAAGAAAGCCCACACACGTGCAGTTCATGTAATGACTGCATTTTAGGACTGCATTGTCTCTACGGTCCACAGCTCACAACACTCCTTCTACAGATCAATACTCAGGTGGTGATTCAGTCGGCCCATCTCATTCAGCCTGAAAAGAATAAAGCAGTAATTCTATTATACTGTCTGAGCCACGGCTTTGAATGCAGAGGAGGTTTCAAAGATTTACGACGTCTGGCCGTGATATTTTGCTTCACAAGCATTCCTCACAGGAGAAAGTTTGATATGTAACGCCAGAAAAAGCGCAGTTAAGTTCGAAAAAAACAACAACTCCGTGTGCAGTTTTATTGTCCCCAGGCATTCCTTTCCATTTTATTTCCAAAATGATATTTCCCATAACTGAAAAGGAAAATGAATTTAAAGCAAAATGTCCAGATTCTGAACAGACATCTGCAGCTCTCTTTGGCAGGAAACAGCAATTCACTTCCTCTTTTTTTTTTGTGCTTACGCACTCAGGTGTGCAGACACGTGTATACATGTGTACGGTAGTGTGTACCCACACACTGGAAAAAAAAGTTACAAGAAAAGAGGATGGAAAAAACTAAACACCTTTACTACCTGCTGAACAAGTTACACACCCAGAGAGCAGAGGAAACTTCGCTGCCACACAAAAAGTGTTTGAAAAGTACACACTACCAGCCCCTACACGTATGAACAAGTCTAAACCAGATGTCTGACATTCCAGCGAACAGTGTTGTTTTATTTTTCACAGTTGGTGCGTATCCCAGTCAGTCTACGTATCTACACCCTTCTTCATCCTCTATGCCTTCTTGAGAGTTCCCAATTCCTATAAATCCTCTTATTCATGTCTAACTTTTTTTCTTTTGGGGGGGGGGTTTAAAGTCCAGTGAAATAAAAAAGTTAAGTAACACTCACAAACTACATTTAGGCTATTAACATGTCTGTGGTTTAAAATGTTTTTGAGACATTTAAGACAATTTAGTTTGCATCAATGGCATCATTAGTTTAACTGTGATCTAGAAATTGGCTAAAGATCAGATAGTCTGGATTCTTTAAAAAAAAAACACATCCATGAGAGAAAACACACACACACACGTTCCACACATTTCTGAAAAGCTGCTCCTCGTTGTTATCTAAACTACAACAAACTGGACGAGAGGATAAAGGGCCACGGCCAGAAGACAGGCAAGTGAAATTCCATGCAGGCCACACGAAAGTCATCCTAAGATTCATTACAGGCTTAAAAGGGACCGGTCTTCATCAATGTAATTACAGAAAAATACTGAGAGGTTGAGATTGTGCACAATCCTTCAGTAACAGCTGGTTTATCTTGCTGAGCTGCTGCAAAATTAAACTGAACTCTAGAGCATTTCAGAATGAATCTGCATTTCTCGAAAATAATATCTTCTCGTGCCTCTTGAGAATGTGGAACCTACAATATGTTCGGAAACTCCTAAAAAGAAATAAGCATTTCCAGTTCTTGGCAATAAACATAAAACTGGTGTTTTGTTTTGTGCAACCTTGGTTTGAAAATCTCTCACTCAGAAGCTGATAAGGTTCTTTGTGTGAGTCAACCAAAGCTATTAGAAGTTTTTTGTGGAGTAGAATTTCTTGACTCCGGTGCTTCTTCTCAGTCGGTAGCTTTGACGCTAGACTTTCACAGGACATTGCAGTTTAAGGTACTCTCCAAATCCATCTAGAATGGGACACTTGGCATAGTGTTACGTGTCGCCTTTTAATGCCAATCCAACAAGCTGTAAAAAAAATCCTAAATATAGCCTTCGGTGTAATGCCGATGAAAATTTCTAGGTTTGAGGTGTTTGTGAAGACGGAAAGAAAGCTGTATTTCTAGTTGCTCCGTTTTGAGCGGCTGTTCAGATCTCTCCATTTCTGAAGCTGATCATTCTGTAAGTGTTTTCTAATGTCAGTCTGACACAGCACAAGACCCCACTTCAAAACACCTTTACGCACCGTTGACAGTAATCAAATCATGAACTAATAAAAGGTTCACACTTCTGATATAGTAAAAGACATCACTGGTTTCCTTTGTGGACACAATTCTGAAACCCTCAGTTAGATAATCTTGGTGCTACCTTTAGTGGATTTTGGGTTAGTGGGGACTGGGTCACCTCTGAAGTCAGCCTCAAGTGAACATTCGAGGAACAGAAGTTTTCAGAACTCCTACATTTGCCTGATTTTTCCAGCTCTGGTTGGTTGCACGCAGAAAACACAAAATTAGATTAAGATTACATTGCATTTTTACTATCAATATCCACTGTTTGATTAATTGACTAAGTTATTTAAACTGATTTTTATATTTTTTCTTGTTCCTTTACATGTGGGAATAAAAATGATTTAGTTTAACATAAACTGAACAAACATCCCTGGCAAAGATTCACTTAAGTAATTCAAATTTGCCTCATTTGAGAAAAAAAGGCTTATATGAGCCCCGATAATATTGACAACGCTTTTTAAAAAAATTTTTTTTTACCACAGTCATGTTGTCCAGATTTAAGCACAGGAGAATCATGTAAGGTCACAAAGTTGGAATTCATTAAATCAGACTGGAGTAATTAACCATTAAATCTCCCATAGGCATGGAGGAGTACCCTTACATACCTCTTTTTATTCAAATTAAAAGGAAAACTGTCAGTGGAAAAAATCTGCTCCAGAATTTATATTAGTTAACCAAGCATAAAACTGGTAGCAGTTCCCCAGAGGCTCCGAATTGGATTAAGTAAGGGTGGAAGAAAGGATAGTGTAAAGAAATAAAGATTTACCCTGAACGGTGGACAAACAGCATTTCCTCTCATCTTTAGACACAACTACCTATTGCTTCTGTCTCTAATTTAAGAGATTACTCCAAATTACACTTTTTTTATCTCGTGCCATCTCCGGTCAAAACTTGCGCAAATTAAGGCATGCTCAAAAACTAAAAGTAATACGGCTAAGCAGGTCAAAAAAAAAAAAAAATCATATGGTGCGACTTAATTTGTACAGCATTTGTACATCTTATTTCTTGCCAATTCCATTCCTGTAGTGAGTGTACATAGAGCAGGTAAGGGCTGAGAGATTTCGCAGCACAACACTGATAATCCTGGTCACATCCTGTCATTATAATTTGTCAATAAAGTGAAAATGTTTGAATGCGAGCAGAGCAGATATCAGAATAACATTAGTGATCCTTACAGACAGGTCAATAGTCCTTTTACGATCAGCGGGCTAAAGTCCTGCTTCCTGTTGGCATTCTTCTCAAAAGTTTTGGCAGCTTCCTGCTGTGTAATGCGACAGGTGAGTCTGTACATTGCCCAGGTCAGATTCTCGCTGTATGATTGCTTGATTCATGAATAATTTACATATTTTCATCATGATCCTTTGTCACCACATCATATCGCAAACAACCTCTAGCCCAATTTCTTGCGTAAGACACTTTTTACATATTTAAGACTCATCTGATTTCAGTGAAGTGGTGGAAACTCACCAGGAAACCTGATCTGACTGCAGATCTACCCTGTGCTTTCTACACTGATTGTGCTTACAGCTCAGGGTAACTCACCACACACCACGCACTAAAAACCAGAGGGCTATGTACACTCACTCACACGTATAATGTGTTAGTTTTCTATGCCCTCAATGCACTTCCTGCATCACTAAAAAGAGGTCTCCACAAACCTGCAGCCCCCAGGAGAACAGTTCACAGCAAGCTTTACTGCTAATGTACAATGTTGCACAACTTCCAATCAGTAAGGCTAATATGGAAACTGTGACTGTCTTCTTCCTGAACCTTGCACACACAGTCACATGACCAGGGCAAATAAGTTGAGCTGGGTGTCTGAGATGGCCCAAAAAGAGGAAGTGATACTGGCAACAGCACATTTTTTGCTGTACATTAGCATACATGTGATTAAGGGCTGTTACTATGTTTTGCAAGGGGTTCTTTTTGAAACCGTTTTGTGCAGAGGCCCGTGTCTAGACAACCACCCACTACCGACACCACCAAGACTGGCTGCCCACCCACAGACACACATCACCCACCCACACACAAACCCACCATTTTACGGCTCCAATCAACACGCCAGTCTTCACATTAGAGTAGAACACAACTGGAGGAATCTAACTTCCTTGTACGTCTCCCTCCCATCTCTGCTCGGCCAACACCAGACATCTCAGCTTTCACCACTCGGCCGACTCTTCTACTCTTACATCTCACATCGTCCTCTCAGCCGGAGCCTCTGAAGTGTTCTCTCTCTCAGTTATCCTGGTTGGCAAGCACCAGCTTTAAGTTTGACACCTGCCTGCCAACACAAACACGCCATCACCTGAGGAGCCAACAGGTCACTCTGACAGAGAGCAGACCTGCAGCCCTGAGTGAAACACACACACACAACACACAACACACAACAGGCAGCAGCACTCCTTCAGACAGAGTCCATCCCTCCACGGGCGCACACACACACACACACACAGCCATATGCAGCAGGGGGATTTGTGAGAGAGCCGCTGCCCTTACCTTGGCACTGGAATCCCTGCTTTCCAAAGCCCCTGTGGACAGAAAAGAGGGATGTGATATTTGGGCATTGCACAAGGGATGCACTCACAACGAGGCACGCGCGCGCGCACGCACGGACTACAGATATCTCCAATCACACATGGACGCCCGGCTCAGCAGCACACACAGCTGCAGCAACAGCGGGGGCCCTTGTCTCCGGCGGCATTCCTCCACCGGCCCGGAGGATTCAGATGCGGGTGTCGGGGTCGATGCAGCGCCTGCTCTGCGGCTGGCGAAAGCACCCCCCCACACCACCACCACCCCCGCCCCCGACAGGCCCGCGGTGCTGTCGCATTTTTGGGGGGACTGGGCAGAATGGCGCACCGCGGCGTTTTTCGGTGACAACGACACTGAATCAAACACTGCGGTGACATCGTGCCCAGAGGCCGATAAGAGCCGCAGCAGCAAGTGAATCACCTGTGTCCTTCTCCCCCACCACCACCACCACCTCGAACGCTCGCTGCCGCGCGCGCACGCACGCACGCACTCACCAGATGAAGTCCGTGCAGTGGCTGCAGAAGGTTGGCTGCTTGAAGAAGCGCGCGATGAACTTGTGGTTCTTCACCTCGTGCACGTTCTTCTGGCGGAGGGCTCCCTGGCGGGCGAAGCCCCGCGCGCTCTCCGGTGCCTCTCCGTCGCTGTTGGGGTCAGCCATCTTAACGAGGAAGCGTCGGCGGTCCGAGAGGTGTAAGGGGTGAGGAGAGCCAAGACAGAGAGGGACAACAGTCGACGGAGGCGGGCTGGAGAGAACCGGTCGCGGTGCAGGTGCCTCCTCCTCCTCCCCCTCTCCCTCTCCGCCCCGCTGGCCGCCTCGGTGTCGCTCGTGCCGCCGGTGTTTGTGACGGTCTGCGTCCGGCTCGCGTTAAAGCTGCCGCCGCCGCTGCTTCTTCCGGCGGGTCCCCGCGCCGCGCGCCCGCTTCCCTGTTCACACCGAAGTGTTGCGGCTTTCAGCTCCGTCTCGCTCTCACAGCCTCACGCGCACACCCAGCTCACAGCCAGCCGTTGATTATTAAAACCAGCACACACCGTGCGTGCGCGCGCAGCATCGGCTGTCACCGAAAACTCGAGTTGAACCATAAGTCCTGCATACTTTCGAAGCGGAGGTGCACGCGCTTACACACACACACACACACACACGCACGTACACACCCACCTAAAGCTGGAGCTCCACTTAAACAGCGGGACCTCGAGGGCCTTCACAGTCCCAGGTTCACGACGTTACACGAGCACGATTTCAGTACAAAATGTGCTGAAACTTGTCCTTCACGCGGCCGGGATATGAAGCTATGAACCATGGGCATAATTGTGTAAAAGGCCCCACTTTTATGCTGCAGAGGAAAAAACCCTGACTGCTTAGTGGTCATTATGTACCTTTGTGCTGTTATGGACTCATTATGGGAACAAAAACTGCAGAAAGATGCTGTCAAATGTTTTTTTGTAGATTCAAAACCATATTTGAATTGGCAGAATAAGTTTTCTTTGCGGTTGTAAAACAATGGTATCAATTTAAAAATGTTTAGTTCAATGTACAGAATGTTCTGGAAGGATGCAGCCTTCCACATCATTGACAGTAATATAGCCAGTTTTTCTATCGATGTCTTAATGTAAGGATTTTAAAATGAGGAAAATAGTGGCTCATACTTATATTTGAATGATAGTCCAAAAGATGCCTTTGTTTCACTAATCAGAAAGAAGATATATTGTGCAAATAAACAAAAACCATAACTTCCGCCTTGAAATTTGGATGTATTTCCTACTTCTCATGAGTGAATTTGCTGTATAACCAAATAACCAAATGGATTGAAATAAGACTGCTTCATTGGGAGGCAGGAGATCTACGGTAGAGATCACATAAAGTCACTGAGGGCAGACCTGGTAGAAATTGTCCCACATCTGATTTATGTACATGATTTCTACTTTGGATGACCTGTCATGGCTGTGTGTGAGGTTTTTTGTTTGTTTGTTCGTTTGTTTTTGCATTTGTGAATGTGACCATTATTTCAAATGGATGCTTAAAGAAATACGTTTAGGTTATGTATATGGCTGCACAGTGGTGTTTTTGTAAGCCCTGTTCCTCACTGTTTGCATGTTCCCTCAGGGTACACCAGCTTCCTTTCTCCATTCAAAGAACTATATGTTAGGTTGATGGGTGGTTCTAAATTTAACTTATCCATGAGTGTACACATTATCTACACATAGTCTTTTAGACTTATAGACTCACAGCCTGTCCAGGATGTCCCCCACTTGTCGATATAAATGCATATATGGGTGACCCTGAATTAGATTAAGTGAGTACAGAAATGGATGAAAGGATACTTTATACACATCTAAGTAAAAAAGGTATATAGGTCACCTGAAATTCGCTAAACAGTGTTGTGGTATATGTGACACATAGTGTCATTGGGGACTTGCAATGGGCAGAAAAAGATATTTCTCTTGTGATTAATGTTAGTTTCATTACTGAGGTCGAGAAAAAAAAAGTCAAATGATGACATCTGAACAATTTAGGCCTTTTTATGCAATCTGAATATGACAGAGTAGTCATACAAAAGCATAAAGCATTTAATACTCATAAAACACATTATGTTGATCCCTAGCTGGACAGAGGGCTTAAAAAATCTGGGCAGATATTAAAAATATTTCTATCTCTCTAAGCACCGCTGAGCTTCCTGGTATCCTTCATCAGGTCTGAGGACGATATGGCGTGTCACTGCAGAGCCACGCGTTACTTTATCAAATGAATGTTCATGAGTTCAACAGTGACTTTTATTCATATCACTCCGGTAACATATCCAGCAGAGGTTAAAGGTGTCCAGCGCGAGTAGCCATTACATGAATTTAGTGTCTCTACTCTTTGACATTGCATGTCGTTGTTTACTATTCGTTTAGACATCCCCGACCTTGTGGAATATTTAAATTATGGGTTTTACTGTTAATCTCTCTATGACAACAGCAGATATTCAGATTGTCTGCTTGGTAAAAGGAGAGGGGATTTCAGCTGAATTTTCTGAGTTTGTGATTGACCTTTGATTGTATCTCAACATACAGATTTAGCCTAGCATTTGATACCGCTATAGCCATATTGTGTGTAGGATGAGATGTGTGAAGGACAGAAACCGCTGCCTCTTGAATATTTGAACCTGTGATGTTGCAGGTTTACTGTGAGAGAGACTAAAAAAGGTGTTCATCTGTCACCTGCCCACAGCTCCCAGTACACATGTAGCAAGTGGTTCGGCTGTGCGGATGCGTTTCATGTACAGTCTATTTTTTAATTGCACTCTCATTATTTAAGTAGACACGTTTGACTTGATGAGCCAAACATTTTTCACCAGTACTGTGGCGACGTAAGTCATTTTTAGTGATTTAGTGTGGGAATGCTGGAAAAATACCCGCTCAGAACCAGCTCTGCCTCACAGTTAAAGAGACAACATGAAACGCAATATTTCAAATCTGCTTGCTGCTCTGACCTCCATCCATCCATTTTATGTACTTGCTTAGCCAAAGTAGGGTTGCGGAGGCTGGAGCCCATCTCAGCTGTCTTAGGGTTGGAGGTATAGTACACCCTGGACAGGTCGCTATCCATCACAGGGTCAGGCCAGACAGCTGTGGATGCTCATACTCACTCCTAGGATAAATGTACCCATTTAGACTAACATACATCGTTTTGGATGCTGGGAGAAAGCCGGAGTACAGACTGAGAACCCACACATACAGTATACGTGGAGAACATGCAGACCCAACACACAGTGAAGGTCTCCAGCTGGGATTTGAACTAGGAACCCTGTCGATAGCAGCTCTGACCTTAAAAAAAATCCTTTTCATGATTGTGTAAAAACATGTTGGGGAGATTAAACTCATGTTATTTTGTATTCTCCAAATTTCATAAGATATTTTTACTTTTCTAATACTGAATTTTTCACAATACTGTATGAGGTATTTTTTGTTGGATGAATGTTTTATATCCATCCAACCCTCTTACACAAAATGGTTTTTCACCTATATGTTGTACAATATTTTATTCCAAGCCTGCTCCTATTTTCTTTTAAAGCTCAAACAATATGTAGAGTTAAAATAAAAGCAGGTGTTTGCAAAGGAACTGAAATGTATATAATTGAAAAAAATTACATTGAATTAAAACAAAAAAAATATCTTACCACAAAATGTCTTTTCTAAAATGACTGGGGGGTAAAAGTTTTCTCGATCCAGAATATTAAGATGGTCTGCAGTTTGGAGACTCATTTCATTCACTCATTTTCCTTTCCAAAAGGGAAATGAGTCAATCAAATAAATACATTTAAAAAATGTGCCAGTCAGTTAGTCAGATAAGAACTGCAAAAAATAAACATCTGAGCATGGGAAGTTTTTGTTTTAAAGCCATGCTGTTGAGAAATGAGTGGACTGGGTGCTACATTGCCTTTTTTAATCAAGTAAGCAATGTGTTGCTTACTTGAGCTTTACTTACTGGTTGTGAGTCCCCTTAGCTTTTGAACCCCTTGAGGCACTTTTGTGCATTTAGATATTGAACTCTCTAAACAGCATTGATAAGATGAGCTCAGTTCATGCCTACTTGTTCTAACAGTGAGTGTGTAATGGGATCACATAGTTCCCTTGAAATAATTTGTACAGAAGGTCAATAGTTGTGCTGCAAAAATCAAATATTGACAGGGATCACAAAGTGATAATATAGAAGGGGGGCGTTGTGCAGACTCATCCAGGATGTTGTTCTATCATGCTCCTTCTCTTCTGCAACACAGAATTGTCAGAGATGAGATAGGAATATCTCTTTGGGATTGTGCCAGTTTTCTTACATGACCAGTGACGAAAATCTATGTAACATTTTAGGTGTTTCCTTGGGGAAATAAGATAAACTGGAGGATGTGCACTTACCTTAACTAGCTTTGAAATCGGTTTAGGTATGCAATGGCTAATTGAAGCAAATATGACATTTCTTTTTTTTATTTCACACTTATATCATAAAGTGTTATCCAAACAATTTGTGAAAAAATGCAAATTGGTTGTTACTGCTCCAAAGAAATTAAGTAAATGCTAGTGAATATTTTCCCATCTTTTTTGTCCAAAGCATATTTGAAAGGGTTCAAATTTCTTATCAACTTTCCCACAATAAACCATAATAGCAAAAGCACATTTCAAAAGCAATGAGGTTGGATACCAACATCCTAAACAATCCTCCTGCCTGTGAGTTTTGTAAAAAAGCAGTTTAGTTTTTTGTTTGTTTCTATATAAAAGTACAACTTATATAATAATTATATTAAACAAAGATGGTTAATAACGCAGGAGTCAAACAGCAAACATGGTGCATTTAAATTCAAATTATGGAGTCAGAACTCCATTCAGGTTTAAATTTAGATTATTCACACAGGAGAGCTTTATAATATCTTCATTTATATTGTGCCATTTCATAAAAAGTGGCCTTAGTAATAAATACTGCAGATCAAACTGAATCCCCAGTTTAATTAATTCTCCATTCAACACTCAGCAAGGTTCTCAGTGCATGATGAAAGATCCCCCAGCAGTCAAAGCCCATAGCACTATAACTTTAAGATGGTTAAGATGGTTATGGTCACATGAACCATCCCTAACTATAAGTCTTATCAAAAAGTCGAGTTTTTAGCCTAATCTCAAAGGTAGAGACGATTTGTCTCCCAGACACTGGCCACTGTTTCCACAACAGAAGGGCCTGATAACTGAAAGGTCTGCCTTACACTCTACCTTTGGAACTCCAGGGAACATGAGTAAAGCCGCAGTGTGAGAGCACAGTGAACTGTTGAGGAAATAAAATGTTATTGTGTCTTTAAGATATGATGGAGCTTATTTAACAAGAGCTTTATATGTAAGAAGAAAGATTGTTTTACTTTTAACTGGATTCAAGAGGTATTCAGATGCTGAACAAGAGAAATATATCTTATATATCATCAGAACCATCCCTACCT